GGGGGTGAACCAATGGAAAAAGGAAGACCTTTCTCTATCTCTCTTTCTCTAACTCTGCCTGTCAAAAATAAAAATAGATTCATTTTCAATTATCTTTATATACAGAAGATCAATTTAGTATATATTAAGTAAAGATTTCAACAGTTTATACCCACACAGAAACACGAAGTGTAAAGTATTGTTTGAGTACTAGTTATACTGTTAATTCACATAGTACAACACATTAAGGACAGAGATCCTACATGGGGAGTAAGTGCACTGTGACTCCTGTTGTTAATTGTTTATGGCGTCAGTAATCACCCGAGGCTCTTGTCATGAGTTCCCCAGGCTATGGAGGCCTTTTGAGATCACCAATGCCCGATCTTATCTAGACAATGCCATAGTCAAAGTGGAAGTTCTCTCCTCCCTTCAGAGAAAGGTACCTCCTTCTTTGATGGCCCATTCTTTCCACTGGGATCTCACTCGCAGAGATCTTTCATTTAGGTTTTGTTTTTTTGTTTTTGTTTTTGTTTTTATTTTTGTTTTTGCCACAACTGTCTTGGCTTTCCATGCCTGAAATACTCTCATGGGCTTTTCAGCCAGATCCAAATGCCTTAAGGGCTGATTCTGAGGCCAAAGTGCTGTTTAGGACATCTGCCATTCAATGAGTCTGCTGTGTATCTCACTTCCCATGTTGGATTGTTCTCTCCCTTTTAATTCTATCAGTTAGTATTAGCAGACACTAGTCTTGTTTATGTGATCCCTTTGACATTTAATCTTATCATTATGATCAATTTAAGAAATGAAACTGATCACTTTGACTAGTGAGATGGCAGTGGTACATGTCACTTTGATAGGATTGAATTGGAAACCCCTGGCACGTTTCTAACTCTACTGTTTGGGGCAAGTCCGATTGAGCATGTGCCAAACTGTACATCTCCTCCCTCTCTTATTCCCACTCTTATATTAAACAGGAATCACTTTTCAGTTAAATTAAAACACCTAAGAATAATTGTGTGTTAATTAAAGAGTACACCAATAGTATTAAGTAGAACAAAAAAATACTAAAAGGGATAAAGTATTAAGTTGTTCCTTGACAGTCAGGACAAGGGCTGATCATGTCATTGTTTTTTTCATAGTGTCCATTTCACTTCAACAGGTTTCCTTTTAGGCGCTCCGTTAGTTGTCACCAATCAGGGAGAACATAAGATATTTGTCCCCTTGGCACTTGCTTAATTCACTCAGCATGATGTGTTCCAGATTCCTCCATTTTGTTGCAAATGACCGGGTTTCGTTGTTTTTGACTGCTGTATAGTATTCTATAGAGTACATGTCCCATAATTTCTTTATCCAGCCTACTGTTGATGGGCATTTAGGTTGGTTCCAGGTCTTAGCTATTGTGAATTGAGCTGCAATAAACATTGAGGTGCAGACAGCTCTTTTATTTGCCAATTTAATTTCCTTTGGGTAAATTCCAAGGAGTGGAAAGGCTGGGTTGTATGGTAGGGTTATATTCAGGTTTCTGAGGAATCTACAAACTGACTTCCATAGTGGCTTGACCAGTTTGCATTCCCACCAACAGTGGGTTAGTGTCCCTTTTTCCCCACATCCTCGCCAGCATCTGTTGTTGGTAGATTCCTGTATGTGAGCCATTCTAACTGGGGTGAGGTGAAACCTCATTGTGGTTTTGATTTGCATTTTCCTGATGGTTAGTGATCCTGAACATTTTTTTTTTTTGACAGGCAGAGTGGACAGTGAGAGAGAGAGAGACAGAGAGAAAGGTCTTCCTTTGCCGTTTGTTCACCCTCCAATGGCCGCCGCACTGTGGCCAGCGTACCGCACTGATCTGAAGGCAGGAGCCAGGTGCTTTTCCTGGTCTCCCATGGGGTGCAGGGCCCAAGCACTTGAGCCATCCTCCACTGCACTCCCTGGCCACAGCAGAGAGCTGGCCTGGAAGAGGGGCAACCGGGACAGAATCCGGCGCCCCGACCGGGACTAGAACCCGGTGTGCCGGCGCCGCAAGGAGAGGATTAGCCTAGTGAGCCGCGGCGCCGGCCGTGATCCTGAACATTTTTTCATGTGTCTGTTGGCCATTTGGATTTCCTCTTTTGAAATGTTTAAGTCCTTGGCCCATCTCTTAACTGAGTTGTTTTGTTGTTGTGGAGTTTCTTGATCTCTTTAGAGATTCTGGTTGTTATTCCTTTATCTATTGCATAGTTTGCAAATATTTTTCCCATTCTGTTGGTTGACTCTTCACTCTCCTGTTTCTTTTGCAGTACAGAAACTTCTCAATTTGATGTAATCCCAATTGTTAATTTTGGCTTTGACTGCCTGTGCCTCTGGGTCTTTCCCAAGAAGTCTTTGCCTGTGCCTATATCTTGCAGGGTTTCTCCAATGTTCTCTAATAATTTGATGGTGTCGTGTCATAGATTTAAATCTTTAATCCATGTTGAGTGGATTTTTGTGTAAGGTGTAAGGTAGGGCTCTTGCTTCATGCTTCTGCATGTGGAAATACAATTTTCCCAGCACCATTTGTTGAATAGACTATCCTTGCTCCAGGAATTGGTTTTAGATCCTTGATCAAATATAAGTTGGCTGTAGATGTTTGGGTTGATTTCTGGTGTTTCAATTCTGTTCCATTGGTCTATCCATCTGTTTCTGTACCAGTACCATGCTGTTTTGATTAAAACTGCCCTGTAGTATGCCCTGAAATCTGGTATTGTGATGCCTCCAGCTTTGTTTTTGTGTACAAGATTACTTTAGCTATTCGAGGTCTCCTGTGTCTCCATATGAATTTCAGCATCATTTTTTCCAGATCTGAGAAGAATGTCTTTGGTATTTTGATTGGTATCGCATTGAATCTATAAATTGCTTTTGGGAGAATGGACATTTTGATGATATTGATTCTTCCAATCCATGAGCCTGGAAGATTTTTCCATTTTTTGGTATCCTCTTCTATTCCTTTCTTTAAGATTTTGTAATTCTCATTGTAGAGATCCTTAATGTCCTTGGTTAAGTTTATTCCAAGTTATTTGATTGTTTTTGTAGCTATTGTGAATGGGATTGATCTTAGCAGTTCTTCCTCAGCCATGGCATTGTCTGTGTATACAAAGGCTGTTGATTTTTGTGCATTGATTTTATACCCTGCTACTTTGCCAAACTCTTCTATGAGTTCCAATAGTCTCTTAGTAGAGTTCTTTGGATCCCCTAAATAAAGAATCCTATCATCTGCAAAGAGGAATAGTTTAACTTCTTCCTTCTTCCAATTTGTATCCCTTTAATTTCTTTTAAAGAAGAAAAAAGTTGTAAACACTCCTTCTTTTCATGTTAGCAGAGAACAGGGATAGATGCAAGACACTGAGTATCTATATTAGAGAGCCTCTAAATTATCGCATCTTTTTTAAAGATTTATGTATTTATTTGAAAGTTAGAGCTACAAAGAGAGGGAGAGACAGACAGACAGAGACAGATAGAGAGATATCTTCCACCCAATGGTTCACTCCCCAGTTGGCTGCAACAGTTGCCTACAATAGCCACAATGGCCGAAGGCAGATGCCAGGAGCTTCTTCCAAGTCTCCCACATGGGTGGTAGGGGCCCAAACACGGGCCATCTTTTGATGCTTTTACCAGGCCATCACCAGAGAGCTGAATCAGAAGTGGAGCAGCTGGGACTCGAAACAGTGCCCAGATAGGATGCTGGCATCACAGGTGGCAGCTTAACATGCTACGCCATGATATCAGCCCCAAGTTATCGTATCTCGAAAAAATAAACAAAAAAATCCACTTTAAGTCTTAGTTAATAAGTCCTTCATGGTAGGTATTTAGCAGAGCATACTGGAATCAGCAAAACACTGAACCTATAGCATTGCTAAAAATTTTGCCCAAGGAGGACTTTGGGCAAGTGCATAATCTAAGACTCAAGACTTTCTTCAAATAGTAAAAACAGTGGTAATAAAAATATAGAACACATCCAGCATAGATGGGAAAAAATAAGATAATGTAGGACAACCCAGAAATCACTCAGAACTTTGCCAATTCAGAAAGAGAAGCCAGGGACAGGCATTTTAGCACAGTGGGATAGCTTGGGATGCCCTCATCCTATATCAGAGTGCCTGTTGGGATCCTGGCTCTCTCCCCAACCCCTATCATTCTGCCTTTCAAACTAATAAGTAATTCATTTAAAAAAATAGAAAAAAAAAACAAGTCAGACAAAGCAGAGGAAAGACTATTCACTTACCTTTCTTGGTGAGCAGAAACTGGATGTTGATATCAGAACTCCTCAGGTCCTTTAGATACATAGATAGACATAGAGAGATAGAATGTATAGACTACATGTATTTTAAAGCATGTGTTTTAGCCGGCGCCGCGGCTCAATAGGCTAATCCTCCACCTAGCGGCGCCGGCACACTGGGTTCTAGTCCCGGTCGGGGCGCCAGATTCTGTCCCGGTTGCCCCTCTTCCAGGCCAGCTCTATGCTGTGGCCCAGGAAGGCAGCGGAGGATGACCCAAGTACTTGGGCCCTGCACCCCATGGGAGACCAGGAGAAGCACCTGGCTCCTGCCTTCGGATCAGCGCGGTGCACCGGCCGCAGCGCACCAGCCATGGTGGCCATTGGAGGGTGAACCAATGGCAAAAAGGAAGACCTTTCTCTCTGTTTCTCTCTCTCACTATCCACTCTGCCTGTCAAAAAAAAAAAAAAAGTATGTGTTTTATTCTGATTACAAAACCAATTTTTGTTCATCACTGGAAACTATCTTACAATCACTCAAAACTTTCTACCTATAAATAATTGCTATTTGCATTTTTACACATTTCCTTCCAGACTTTTCTTTATATATAGATTTTAAACAAAAGTGGAAATCATACTTCAGACAATTTAATGTCATTTACAGTCATATAAAAATGTTCTTTGATCATAAGAAAAAACTACATACTAATTCATCAGAAAGATATCATTAAATATATTTATGGTATAGTATAAAATATTTAAATAAGGTAACAGAGGAAAAAAACACAGTGCCTGAAGACTGGAGATGTGCCTTGTGAGCAGTCCAGAGCTGCTGCAGCAACTAGTGCAAGAAACACGGAGCCAACTCTGGAGTGGACAGTAAGTCTAACATCCCAAGCAATGACCTCATCTATCCCTTCCTAGCTCATAGTCCAAGATGGACCACTGTCCCATCAGCATTCCAGCCCTGGGAAGAAGGAAAGAAGAAAAAGGAAAGAGAGGGCATGATTGTTCTATGGGCACCACCTAGGAATTAGATACATCATCTCTGGTCATACTCTATTGGCAGAACTTGATCACATGGCAATCCCTTCCTACAAAAGGAAGCTGTAGAATGTAATTAGCTACCAAAATTCTAGGCAGCTAATAATCTGATTAATGTGGAGTAGAGGAGAAAGAACAGCTAGATATTAGGAGTCCCATGAGGGTTTCTGCCACTCGTTTAAAGTTCTTATGCCACGGTGTACACTTAATTACTTCAGCAATCATTTTACCTCTTATTCTTTTTTTTTTTTTTGAAAGTTTTTTTATTTATTATTTGGCAGGTAGAGTTACAGACAGTGAGAAGGAAAGACAGAAAGAAAGGTCTTCCATCTACTGGTTCACTCCTTAAATGGCCACAACAGCCAGAGATGGGCTGATCCAAGGCCGGAGGCAGGAGCCTACTCTGGGTCCCCAACGTGGATGCGGGGGGGCCCAAGCATCTGAGCCATCTTCCACTGCCCTCCCAGGCCATAGCAGAGAGCTGGATCAGAAGAGGAGCAGTCGGGACTAGAACCAGTGCCAATATGGGATACCGGCTCCGCAGGCAGAGGATTAACCTACTGTGCCACAGCGCCAGCTGCTTACCTCTTAAGATTCTAATGTGACAAACACTTCCAGGTTTTGTGTTATAAAGCATTGGTTTGAGTAGCCCCTACTGTGTATTATAGTCAAGATTCTGGTAGTCAAGTGAAAAAGTCGGGTAAGATGTAAAATCTGAAGATATATTTATTTGAGATGTTTAGATATTACACAAGTATTTTATAAACATTACATAAGCCATTTTAAGTTTTATAAATATAAATATTTCCCAATTCCCATGTCAAAACTTGTCAGCATCCTGCGTTCAGAGTCTTTCTCTGGAGCCACTGTCTGCTATCCCAAACCAGACACAGCCTTCTCCTGGGAGAGATGTGCACTGTTCACAAACTCACAAACGAGCGAGGTAAACCCACCGAAAGTCCACAGCTTCCACTACGGGAGCTCAGCATCTCCTCTTGGCTTCCCACTGAGTTCTCATAGGCTCAGGCACGATATCCTGTGCACTTGCATTAAACATGTTAATTTCACTATTTGGCACGTGGTTTTGACCCTTTAATACTGTTCACTGCCCTCCACCTGTCAACGCTGGCTCTTTCCTACCTTCCAGACTGAGTCCGGAAATTCAATCCCAGGGTTTCTTGGTGGTAGCAACTCGGTCACTGCCATCCCACAGATGTGAGGATCCCTTTTCTGTCTTGTCCCACATGGATCTATTTCTTTCCATCTTTCTTTTCCTCCCGTTTCTCTCTGGTACTTTCCTTTTATTCATTTTCTCTTTCACCTCCTTGCTGCGCTGTAAGCCAGTCTAAGGCTCTCAGTGATCACTAACTTACCCATTGCTGTGCCTTTACCCAGTGCTCCTCAGCTAAGCCACAAAAATTTAACCAATCATGTACACATCAACTCGGGGGTACTTCCCACTTACACTTCAGTAGCCCATGGAACAACGTAGTAAGTTCCCTTATCTAGGGATGCAATGGCCATATAAAACACACAGTAAGTAATGCTTCAACCAAATTCCTTAGAGAATGTTCCTTACTTTAAAATATTAACAAAAGAAAAAAAAAAAAACATGGAAGAACTGAAATACAGCCCTTTGAGGCCTAAATTGTCAAATCAGCACTCACATAAACAAACCGGGAAAACTGCTAACAGGAAATCTTACTCTCAAACCATGAGGTGACTGCAGTCCCTCTTTACTACTGAAATGTTACTATTTGTTGAAACAAAGAATCTTCTTTGCTTTGGTTTTTAGCTTAGGATGAGTGAAAATGATGAGAACAGAATGTCCTGGATGGTAAAGAGTGGAAAGAATTATGCAAACACATCTGATTCTCAAATCTACCTTCACATAAGGGAGAAAACAGATGAGGCTAGTAACTGAGTATGGGATGTAGAGGACGAGGAAGCAGATCATGAGCTTCATGGCACCGACGTGAGCTTCCGTCTGGGGACTCCAGAGGCCAGTGGCGTTTCCCTGCATCTTCTTTATGTGTCTTCTCAGGGAATGTATTAGCAAGGAAGCACAAGTCACATTGATGGTCAACTGGACAAACGAGTTCAAGACGGAAGAGATCACCAAAGACGAGATGTCCTCACTGGTGCCAAACATGGTGCCATTTCTCCTGGAAACAAAGTTGGAAAAGGGGAGCGTCTCTCTGAGCACAACATGCAGGACAGTGGTGAAGGCAGAAACCAGCACACAGGCCCCCAGCAGCCTCGGGGTCGTGGGAGAAATATTCCGTTTCAGCAGGCGAAACACCGAGGTTTGGAAGTTAGCAATCTTCACACAGTACAAGATGTTGAGCAGGGTCACAAACCAGACGCTGACGGAGTCCAAAAACATCAAACACGCTAGCAAAAAGATGGATACGTACACTGACCTTTCAACATTGGCAACAGTGTGGTAGATAATATTCAGTAGAAACAGTCCCAGCGTTAGAAATCTGGTGATGCCCAAGCTGAATAGGATCCTATCGGAAGAGGAGTTTCTGTTGCTTTTGGCCCAGCTCTTGTAACTGACCACTGTGATAAATAGACTTGTAAAGGTCCCTACAAAAATAAGAACAAAAAAGGCAATAACAAAGAAATAGAAACCTAGATACATCGTTACGTATCGAGGATTCAGTTGTGGTGCTGATGGTGGGGGCTAGGAGAAATAATGAAATGGCCAAGCAGGCACCAGTATCCAGCCAGGAGGGATGTCTGCTTTTTTATTTTTTTCCCCAGCATGGCAAATGAGCCAGTGGTGGTCTAAGAGCCAGCTGCTTTTACTAAGATGCAAATCCTCTGAGGATTGCATTACTGTTTCTTCAATCATATCCTCTTCTTAGAAATGCCTTGTTAAAACAAGCCTAGCTGAACCTGGAATCTCTCTCCTCCAACAGCAGAAGGGCTATCAAGCGGAGTCACAGCTGGCTCCAAAGATTTCAAATTCAAATTAGAGTTCCAGGTCAGCATTGCTTCTATCACTGTTTCACCACAAACATTGCTTTTCTTCACAGAAATCTCAGAATGTGGTGAGAATTCCGGTGCCTGGTTCTTCCCATCCAACCTCCCATCGCTCTGTTCTGGTGATGCGTCTTCAACCGCCCTGACCATGCCAAGCCACTCCTTTATCTCAGCACCAACAGTGCTCTACAGTTAATAGATCAAGTTCGAGGACCTTAGCCTTCTCAACTAATCCCATCCTTCCATGATGATGCCTTTACTTAGTTTTCCCTCACTAGCTGTATGCACAGATTTGTGCCATAATCATTTTCTGCATTTTGTTTATGCTCATAAAAAAGTCAACCTCTTCACGTGTTTATAAATGTTGGTTTATGTTCAGACTGCATGTGGCTATCTCTTCACAGGCATTTAGCTGTCAAACAAGGTACACAGATAGGAGATACCTATAACACTTTTAGCTGGGTCCCTGAACTCTATCCAACGGAGAAGGTTGGAGATAAACCGGCCTGAGATAGTCTTGTGAGTCTGGATGCTTACCAGAGCCTGAAAAGATCGGTTGGTGGCCAGGGCAGCCCTGGAACCAAACTGTGCTATTGACAGGTCTCTGGAGAAAGCTTTAAGGCAACCAGCTGCAGTGAAAGGACGACTTAGCTGATTTGATGATGACTCCAAAAAATGAGGTCCACTAAGAGTAAACAAGAACTTCAGAGTTTGAAATTTTTTCAAAGGAATACACAGGGACTTTAAGAAAAAAATAAAAGGAACTTTCATTTCTTGGGATTTTTGAAATGTTTACTAATTTCCCAGCAGTACACAGTGGATTTTCAATGTCAGTTATTCCATAAAACAGTCTAGAAAAAAGATATGAACATTACTAGTCACAGATGAGGAAAATAAAAATGAGAGAAAGTATATGACTGCCTAATTACAGCAAAGATCTTTCTGAGGCTAAGCTCTTTCCACTACACTAGACTGGCCCTCATTGGTTCTTTTATTTTTAAGATTTATTTATTTATTTGAGAGGTAGAGTCACAGAGAGTGAGGCAGAGAGAAAGGTCTTCCATCCATTGGATCACTCCAGTGGCTGCAATGGACAGAGCTGGGCCAATACAAAGCCAAGAGCCAGGAGCTTCTTCCCAGTCTCCCATGTGGGTGCAGGGGCCCAAGCATTTGGGCCTGCTTCCACTGCTTTCCCAGGCCATTAGCAGAGAGCTTGATCAGAAGAGGAGCAACCGGGACACAAACCGGCACCCATATGGGATACCAGCACTGCAGGCAGAGGCTTAGCCTACTACACAGCACTAGCCCCCAAGGTTCTTTCATTCCAAAAATAAATGTTTCTATCAGCCAGGCACTACGTTGGGTGCTAAAGAAGCAGGCAAGAATCACCTGCAGCACACCGCAGCATACCTTCAAAGGACATGCACAACAGTGGGGGCAGACCATTAGAGATCAGTGTTTCCAGTGCTGTAACAAGAAGAAACAAAGAATGCAATCAGAGTGTTTCGGGAGGCACACTTAACCAGCCTTCTGGGGTTCAGAAAAAGGCTTTCCTGAGGAAGCATATAAATCAAGTCTTGAAGGATGCAAAGGAGTTATCCGAGCAAATGTCCAGAGTGAGAGGAAGAAGGATGTTGGAAACAGAGGGAGAACTCTACATGCAGACTCAGAGGAGACAAATGGCAGGTGCAGGAGACAGAGGAGTGTAGGGGAGCAAGGAGAGGAGGAGTCAGGAAATGAAGTAGGTCCCCAAGCACCTACACCATGCTAGATACACAGCTGGGACATGATTACAGCAATGTGATCAGAGTTCTGTACAACATTCTAGGATAAGACACAGAGTAAGTGCTCAACTTCAGAGTTAAAGGAGACAGCTGTTGAAGGATAAGAAAGAGGAGTTAGCACAGCTGTTGAGTGAGAAAAGCAATGTTAGGCAAAAGCAGAAGCATATACAAAAATAAAGCAAGAAGAGTATGCATATTTGGAACCAGACACGGTTCAGAGTTCTCTTGGAGGAGTAAGGAATGGGAAGATGCAACTTGAACGAATAGGGAGGAGTTAAATAATGCTTAGTGCTCAGAGCTAAGGAGTGCATTCTATGCAAAGCAATGAAGAACCACTGCAGGGCTTTCAGAGGGCAGCATTATGGTTGTATTTTCCCTCAGGAAGAACACGAATCAAGTAATGTGGCAATGCTTGCTGGAAAGCGATGGAGTTGGACAGAGGAAATGAGAACACTGTTGCAGTCATTCTGATGGGTTGGGAAGAGTGGAAATGAAGAGCAATGGAAATTAGAAAGAAAGATTTTTAGATTATAACCAAAGGAATCTTGTGACAAATGAATAGTGAAGCTTTAGAGGAAGGAAAATTCTGAAATGGTTTCCAGAATTCTTTTTTTTTTTTTTTTTTTTTTTTTGACAGGCAGAGTGGACAGTGAGAGAGAGACAGAGAGAAAGGTCTTCCTTTTACCGTTGGTTCACCCTCCAATGGCTGCCGCAGCCACCGCGCTGCGGCTGGCACACCGCGCTGATCCGATGGCAGGAGGCAGGTGCTTCTCCTGGTCTCCCATGGGGTGCAGGACCCAAGGACCTGGGCCATCCTCCACTGCACTCCCGGGCCACAGCAGAGAGCTGGCCTGGAAGAGGGGCAACCGGGACAGAATTTGGCACCCCGACTGGGACTAGAACCCGGTGAGCTGGCGCCACAAGGCAGAGGATTAGCCTAGTGAGCCACAGCACCGGCCTCCAGAATTCTAGTGTACTTAGAACACACAGGTGCGCATACGTACACAAATGCATGTCTTTCAGGATCTTTACAATCTGCTCTACCAATTTAGTAACAAGCTTATTTATACAGGAAAGTGTGTCAATTCCAGAAGTAGAGACTGAAATTAGATTAGATTGCAAGATACTTTAGATGGGAGGCAGTCAGAGGAGGTGAGTAGGGTGTTCAGACACCAAGATAGGTCTGAGAGCTGTAAAAAGGCAGGAAGAAAGAACTGATAAAGCCCTAAACAGAAACACAGATCCAAGAAAGCTTCGACAACACTGTTAGAGTCCCTGGGCCAAAACTGTCTGGTGGAAGAGTCCCGTGTTTCAGCAGAACAGACCTAACTTTGCACTGCATGGTCTCTGGCTGGGGAAGCATGCAGAAGGTGTGGCCTCATAGGGATGGACCCAGCAGTGGGAGTCATCAGCCAAGTACCCTCCCCAACAGCAGAGATCTGAGCAGTGAGTCTTCATGGCTGCCGCAAAACGGGGTTAGCAGGGCCAGGGTTGTGATCCAGTGAGTTAAGCTGCTGCCTGTAGCACCAGCACCTCATATGAGCATCATTTCAAGTCCTGGCTGCTCCACTTCTGATCAAGCTCCCTATTAATGCACCTGGGCATGAATCAGCAGAGAGAAGATCTCTGTCTCTCCCTCTCTCTGTAACTCTGCCCTCCAAATAAATAAAATCTTTAAAAAGGCAGGGCACTGGGGAGGGGTGGCTAGAGACAAAGATCAAAAGGTAACCTGTGCAGGACCCTCTTATGACAGGAGGATCCCTTCCTCACGCCCAAAGCAGAGGTGAAATATTTGTTTCTATGATGTGATGATGATCTGGAGAACAGAGCTGCACGGTGCTTAGTGCACAGTGAGTGTGATGTCAATGTCTGTGATAGGAATGGGGTAGAATGGCGTCCAGGTAAGCCAGAATGCCATCGGAATGAGAAATGTGTTTATTCCTGGAATATTATAACAACGACCAGCAACTGTCCAAATCCCATTCCTTTCTGAGACAATCAAGGTACAAGCCTGAGAAAGCAAGAAAAAAAATTCAAAAACCTTCACACTGTAGCTGTAAATACTGTTTGCCAACAGGCCAGATGGACATGGCTGAGAAACTCTCCTCATGAACTTCTGAAACCATGTTTTTCACCTGGAAATGTGATTCTGGCCATCAGTCCAGCCGCACCATGTCACACTGACAATTGTAATGGAGTCAATAAAATTTACTCCACACAGATGTGCTGAGAAAAAAAATCATGTTCTTTATTTTGCCTGTAACAGGAGTTTCCTCCTGAGTTCCCCCTGCTGGTTGGTGGAAGTTTTTAACCCAATGGGAGAGTGTCTTTAGAAAATGCTTGGTCTCCGTATCTGCAAACAAAAACATCCTCTCCCTGCTGTGCTTCTGTCCTTTACTGAAGACACACAGGAAGCTGGGTGAGATCAGCTCTGCTCATGGTTCCAGAGAAGTGTCCGGTCCTCGGCTTCAGTGTCCTTGTCTCATCCGGCTTCCAGGAAGAGGTCCTGGTTCCGGTTTGCACTGCTGCATTCAAGGCTGAGTCTGCACCTATGCTTTGCTCCCACTGACTACACACGGGGAGTTTTAGCCAACTCTCAAAGTGGGACAGCATCAGGACCCTCGCCTGACTACCTGCAATCCCTTTTCTCTCTCACTCTTCTCCTTCCTGCCATCCGGAGGCTGGGAGGAGCGGGTTTCCACTTACATGTCCCCCTAACCACCACCACCAAGCCTCGGGGATTCAGTGTGGCAGGAGAAGGAGTCTAGAGGTGGACACTTCAGGCTCAATCCTTGAGAGGGCAAAACAGCAGTAGCTCATATTCACTGTTCATTTATTACTTAAATACTTCACATACATTGCTCTGTTTAACCCTCACATCAGGTCTATCAAGTATGCCTCTTTCAGAGTGAAGTCCAGGGAGGGTCAGGAACTTACCAAAGATCACGCAAGAACGGTGGGGCTCAGGATTTGCACACGAATGCGTCTGAGTAACACTCTGACACTCTTACCTTCATGCTACGCATTTTCTAGCCCACCAAAATGTAGAAACATCAGAAAATAAAATATAATTGTCATCAGCAGTTGCTGGAAGTTTATAATGTCACTTTTGCATTTTTAAAACAGAATCTCATACAGAATTGAATAAATAACACTTTCTACCTATCCCAAGGCAAAAAAAAATTACAAACACAATTTAAGACCCTGGAGGTGGCCATGTTCATGTACTTTTGGAAAATATAAGATAAATTTCACAATGTAAAGAACACTTGCAGGCACTGAAATTGTTTGGAAAATGTTGAAAAGTATTTTTGGGGGTTTTCTGGTTTGTTTTCATTTAAAATTCTCCTGGACCCAAACTACAGTTCCAGGTCATTAAGAGTCAGGGTCTATGAAGTGGTCCAGGAATCGGAGTATTAACTCATGAGAAGGAGCCTCAGAGGACGTAGGACACAGGAATCCCTGACAGAAAACTGGAAAGTGGAAGTCTCATGAGCTACTGCTGCTCCGTGTGTCAAAACCCCCAGAATATACCAGAGAGGTGTGTCAGGAGGGGACGTGCACCTTCTTTTTTTTTTTTTTTTTGACAGGCAGAGTGGACAGTGAGAGAGAGAGACAGAGAGAAAGGTCTTCCTTTGCTGTTGGTTCACCCTCCAATGGCCGCCACGGCTGGCGCGCTGCGGTCGGCGCACCGCGCTGATCCGATGGCAGGAGCCAGGAGCCAGGTGCTTCTCCTGGTCTCCCATGGGGTGCAGGGCCCAAGCACTTGGGCCATCCTCCACTGTACTCCCTGGCCACAGCAGAGAGCTGGCCTGGAAGGGGGGCAACCGGGACAGAATCCAGTGCCCCGACCGGGACTAGAACCCGGTGTGCTGGCGCCGCAAGGCAGAGGATTAGCCTAGTGAGCCGCGGCGCCAGCCGGGACGTGCACCTTCAGAACCAGCTCCGCATGCAGCCGGCTCCGAATGCAGAGACCACCTACATTCCATTCTGAAGAGGAATCTGTTCCCTTGTGCGTGAAGCAACTCAATGTAAGAGTCTTAAGGGGTTAACAACCAAAGGTAATTAATCAAAAGCAAAACAAAACAAACAAGGTGGCATCTTTCAGGGTTTCTCAATCCAGGGACTAAGATACCAGGTAATTCTCACCCACGCCCTGGGATTCAGTGTGGAGTTGGCGGAAAGCATTTCCTGTGATAGAATCGGAGACCAAATCCTCTCCAAATTAGCCAAAATTCCATCATGGTGCCGCTTGCAATAGGTGAGACTTCTCTTCCCAGAAACTCACCCACAACCTAGACCTATGCCCCAGTCTCACTACCAACTTAAACGCAGTCCACACAGAGCTGAAATCATAGAACAAAGTCAGAGGTCTTCCAGAAGTCACCTCGGACTAATTACTCCGAAAGAGGAAGTTTGGAGTGAAATGGAAATGCCACGTTTTTTCTTGGGGAACCAAATCAGACTCCCCACCTGGCATTCTGCACTTTCCAGTCACACTACAGGCACCCGTGAAGCTAACAGCGGCAGTAATACCAACATGTTTACTATGCCTGAATGTGTTAGGTCACTGTAGAATTTCATGGGGCCGTGGTAGAAAAATAAGGGGAGGATTCCTACAAAAGTCAGCTGAAAGCACCAAGAGCCAAAGAACAGCTAAGTCAAAACCTCCAGAGCGATGTTGATTTCAACCAAGAGAAAGGGAATCCCAACAGCCAGGTCAGCTGGCAGAATCAGGAGTTCAGGCAAGGACTAAGGAACTATAAAGTCAGAGCAAGGCAGAGAAATTGTTCAAGACATCGCAGCAGAGTTCCAGAGTGGGTGAGGCTGAATTAAAGAGCAGGTCAGATGGACAAAGATGCCAAGCAAAGCAGCACGAATTTACCCAGTGAAACCCCTCTGTACCAAAAAGAAGCCCAGATTTCTACTAATTGCAGAAATTGCAGATGGAGAAAAATAGTAACTTTTAAATTTTTATATTTTAGTGAATTGTAAATGAATCACAAATTATTCTTAATTAGGAATATTCACAGATGTTTCTTCATTAGGCAGGAATAAAATTACAAGCAAATATGCACATCAAAAGCCATTTTACTCCTACAATCTCAAAAATTAATACATAAAATTTCAGAATAATCCCCAAATTGATTTTTGGTTACATATGACTAAATGTCAAGCAATGTGACAATCCTTCAGGCTATGTCAAAATATACCCCTTTCAATAATAAAATGTTTACTGAGTGTTTACTTCATGTAGGGCTCTGAGCACCATTCATGTGCTAACGCACTCATTCCTTCCAACAACCCCATAAAAAACGCCATTACTATTACCACTTTAAAAACAAAGAAGGGCAATAGAGAGGGGTTAAGGAACCGGCTCCCAAGGTGCATGGCCGGGAGCGAGCCCAGGGTGTCTGGCGTCAGTGAACACATTCTCAGCCATAATACTCCACATTCGAGAGCCAAAATATTGTTACAAACACAGAAATACCATCTGTGCTAACTGAACATATACACAAGTTTGAGAATTTTAATGTAAAATAAAAATATTTAATGTAAAATAAAAATATTCCCACTAACATCAAAACTGCTCAATGACAGGAAGTGAATCAGCGTTTAATGTACTTCAATTTAAATAAGATTAATCAAACTTATGAAACTGCTCACATTAAATTCAATAAGATTCTGTAAATTAAAAACAAATAAGCATCTCAGTTTAAAAAAGAAGAAGTGGTTGGGTGTTTTTGCCCAGTTTAGAAAATGTAAATTTACTTTAACAAGATGACCATAAAACCCAAGAGCAGATTAGAACCTCGAATCCAAAGGTCTTGATTTTCATTCCAGTGCCTTCTTCATCACACAATGGGCTGCAGAAACTGGTATTATACGGGAACTGCTCTTGCTCTATGACTGTTAGTTATAATAGCCTTCACTTACTAAGCATTTTACACAACACACTGTCCTAAAATATTATCTCCTGACTCTCTATTATTCTATGAAGTTGATGTTATATTAAAATCATGGAAGAAAAAAATCAGACAAGTAATTAAACTAATCCACACGAGGCCAAAACCTTGGGAAATTGACACAACCAGAATTCAAACCCACATCTAGAGCGGTACAAAGCTTTTGTAACTGAAGTCTCTATTTTATTTACAGCAGTGCCAAACTTAAGCTGAAATGTACTCAGATTCATTAAGCTAACCTGATGGTGACTGAACTACAGCTCCAGGGTTCTCATTACCTTGACATTCCCGAAGACTGTTTTACCGCTTCCAAAGCAACCATTTCAGAACCAGCTGTGTCTCTCTCCTACTGATGTCACAGAACTGGTACCACGGGAATGTCAGGAGGATCCCAAAGACTTGAGCCAGGCCACAGGACTCCTGGGCTCCACCCTATGCCCTCTAAGGGAAACAGAATCCCTTAGATCCAGGCTTCAGATGACAAGACTTACACCGGAGCATCCCCACAAATGTCTGCTTCAGCTTGTCGTTCCCTAGAATGAGGATACATGAATGGACAGTAGGACAAGACATAGTAATCACTTCACCAATCATCTTAACCACCTTGGTTCCTGGTAAGAAATCACTGGAGGATAAAGTTAAAAAGGCAAGAAAGTAGAGCAGAAAGAGGAAGAGGAAGGAGAGGATGATCCTGATGGCCTTCTTGTGGGCCTCAGTGCTTTGGTCTCTGGGGCTGACGCCATTCTGCTGCATCTGCCGTGTGTGCCTCCCCAAAGAGAGAATGAGCAAAACGTAGGAGGCCAGGGACAGAATCAAAGGAGGGGAGTACCAAAGAGCCATAAGAACGTGCATCAGTTCATATTCTCCTTTCTTCTTTCTGGTGAGCTCAGTTGCATTCTCTGAGTCACCAGCTTCTTCGAGGACAGAATGTATCTTGAATTCATTGACCAGAGACACGGTGCTGCTGCCGGCAAAGAGCAGTGCCCCCAGGAGCATCCACACCACCACCCTGGACACTCTCCACTTGAGCCAGAGGAATGCGGCGTGGGAGAAACTGGCAATTTTCAGGCAGTAGAGGACACCAAGACAGGTGGCAAGCCAAATGCTCAAATGGTTTGTAAATGTCCAGAAAATATCAATAACTTTCATCATTATCCCTGAGTCATGTGTCCCGTAAGAGAACACTAGTAAAAGACCATCGGTCAAGAAAATCCACAGCAGAATGACCCTGGAAAAGGCCAGGTTGGTGATGAGGAAATCAGACAAAGAAATGCTCTTGCTCTTGACCCACTTGCTGCTGTTGACCAACCCGATGAAACCATTGGCAAGAATCCCCACAATGAACTGGGTGACCGACAGAACCAGGGACAGCCTCTCAACGACTCCCAGCATGTCAGCAGCTAGGCTGCCCTGCTCTTGGTCCTCTCTGTTGATAGACGTAATCTCCTGGCTGACTTGAAACTTTTGAGTCTCTTCACCCTGCTGTTTCACAGTACCTGTCTCTTGTCTCCGCCCAACTTAGTCTGTCGCAGTACAGTTCAATGAATCTTCTTCAGCTCTTTGTCTGTCCTCTTCACAGATGACACGGATTGTCACGTTTCCTCTACGATCAGCCGCTCTTTGCTAACATGCAAATAGAGTAGTGTCCAGTTTCACACTGAGACTGGAGATCTGAGTCACAAAAATGGTGGACTTGGAGTCCATTTCCAAAGGAGTAGGGCATGGAGTCACCCAGAACAGACAGGTGGCTGGAACTAAAAGGAAGAAGGACAGGGTCACTCAGAAGAGCTAGAAGCTCTGTTCTTTGGGAGGGACAACTCAGAGATTTAAACAGAAAAGGGAAAATATCAGAATTCCACCATGAAAGACAAGCCATCACCTTGAGAGAAGCTTAAATGGTAAAATTTTTAAAAATGCAATGCCACTCGTCCAGGATTAAAATTAGAAGGCATAAGCCTAAAAGTGTTACATGCAGAGGCTCCAAATAATTCTTCACTAGTGAATCATATCATCAGAAATGATGAATTATCAGAATATATGCAGTATCGATAAGGAAGACAGCAAATAAGCTAATCAAACTGCGGACTTTCCAGGTACATGACCACTGTAATGATAAATCAATAGTAGTTCAGACTGACAGAGATCACATACAGATCTATTGATTTAAAAAGCCTTGTTTACCTAAGGGTAATGACCAACAATACTTTTTACAAGGCTATGTGCATGTGTATGCATGCATGTGTGTGTGTCAGAATCTGAATGGATGCATATATAGATTCTATATACATTATATATAAATGTATTCTGAGAACACAAAGGTTTCATAAAACTGTGTGTCCCCTTTCTACATGAGTGCTACTCTAACATTTTCTATCCTATTCTATATTTTCAATACTGCTTGCATCACATCATATATAACTGATTTTATAACCCAACAATGACTTATAATAAATACCATTTTAAAACATTGACCTGGGCCAGCGCCGCAGCTCACTAGGCTAATCCTCCACCTGCAGTGCCAGCACCCCAGGTTCTAGTCCTGGTCAGGGCGCCGGATTCTGTCCCGGTTGCTCCTCTTCCAGTCTAGCTCTCTGCTGTGGTCCGGGAGGGCAGTGAAGGATGGCCCAAGTGCTTGGGTCCCTGTACCTGCATGGGAGACTGGGAGGAAGCACCTGGCTCCTGGCTTCAGATCAGTGCAGCGTGCCGGCTGTAGCGGCCATTTGGGGGGTAAACCAGTGGAAGGAAGACCTTTCTCTGTCTCTCTCTCTCTCACTAACTCTGCCTGTCAAAAAAACAACAACAACAACAACAACAACAAATTGACCTGAAGGAGGGAGAGGGAGAAAGAAATCAATGTCATCAAGATAGAAAGGTAGTCACTTCCGGCCGGCGCCGCGGCTCACTAGGCTAATCCTCCGCCTTGTGGTGCCGGCACACCGGGTTCTAGTCCCGGTCAGGGCGCTGGATTCTGTCCCGGTTGCCCCTCTTCCAGGCCAGCTCTCTGCTGTGGCCAGGGAGTGCAGTGGAGGATGGCCCAAGTGCTTGGGCCCTGCACCCCATGGGAGACCAGGAGGAAGCACCTGGCTACTAGCTTTGGATCAGCGCGGTGCGCTGGCCGCGGCGGCCATTGGAGGGTGAACCAACGAAAAAGGAAGACCTTTCTCTCTGTCTCTCTCTCTCACTGTCCACTCTGCCTGTCAAAAAAAAAAAAAAAAAAAAGAAAGAAAGGTAGTCACTTCAGAAACATTATCCATGACAGAGACAGAGGATATATATTTAGGTCCTTAAAAATTCATGAGTGACAGAGGGTGAATCTGAAGAGTGAGATTTAGTCTCAACTGAACCAGGTGAACCTTAGTGATCTTGGCATTGTGTAGCGTGCAAGATGATTATGGAGCACTGTGGACTACACTCAGGAATAAACACAGTCTGTATTAATGACCCTCAGCTTTTCCCAGGCCTGGTTAACCACTTGACCCATATGCTTCCTGACCCCGTGCTGTAGAATTACAATAGTAATCGGAGGGTCTGGCACCGTGGTGCACTTGGTTAATCCTCCACCTGCAGCGCTGGCATCCCATATGGGCGCCGGGTTCTAGTCTCGGTTGCTCCTCTTCCAATCCAGCTCTCTGCTGTGGCGATAGCGGTAGAGAATGGCTCAAGTGCTTGGGCCCCTACACCCACATGGGAGACCAGGAAGAGACTCCTGGCTCCTAGCTTCGGATCGGCGTAAATCCAGCCATTGCAGCCATTTGGAGAGTAAACCAAAGGAGAGAAGACCTTTCTCTCTCTCTCTCTCTCTCCCTCCCTCCCTCTCTCTCTCTCTCTCTGTGTGTGTGTGTGTGTGTGTGTGTGTGTGTGTGTAAACTCTACCTGTCAAATAAATTAAAAAAAATAGTAACTGGACATCAGGGTATACCCCACAATCTACCTTTCACCCTGTATCTTGGCCTCATTCTATGGACTGAAATGTTTTCTCATCTCCTAATACCCTTTATATCCCTTATGAGAACAAATACAATAAGACACTTCTATCTCTATATTAGGAGAAAGTTAAGAACATACAGCACATCAGAATGTAATTCACATACCATTTCATGTTTGATCCTTTTTACTAGCCCTATTATTTTTCTCCTTCCATCTCAGAGTTACCATGTCCCAAACAAGCATCTCAATTTATTCTCATTTAAAAATACATATTACCCCTTCTCACCTTGAATCTTCCATTTCACCAAATGGCAACCAGATCTAGTTGCTAAAATCTGGCATCACCATCACCTATTACCTTGATTATTCTCTTTCTCATTCACCTACATCAATTCATCAGTGACTGATTCACTCTAAGTACAAAATACGTCTTCCATTTCCCATTTCCACTGCCTGCATCCTGATCCAAGCTGCCCATCATCTTTTATTTGATCTACTTGATGACTTCCCATTTCTCCACTTCTAATCTTTTCCTCCATAACAAAAAGCCTTATATACCACAAGAAAGATCTTAAAATGTTAATTCAGGTGCTATAGCACAAGAGGTAAGCTGCTGGTTGGGATAGCTGCATCCCACATCAGAGTACCTGGGTTTGAGTCCTGGCTCCAAATCTGATCCAGCCTCTTAAAAACGTGTACTCTGGAAGGTAGCAAGCGATGGCTGAAGTATTTGGGTCCCTGCCACCCACACAGGAAACCCTGAGGGAGTTCTGGGGTCCTGGCTTCAGCCTGGTCCAGCCTGGGCTCTTGAGAGCATTTGGAACCAGCAGATAGAGGATATCTCGTTTTCCCTATAGGTCTGCGTTTCAAATAATAATAAACTTTTCAAATGTACATTTGACCATCTCACTTTGCTACTTAGGATACTTCAACAGCTTCCTACTCCAAAATAATACAAACTTCTTAAATTGTGTCCTGAAAGTCTCCTCTAGGTATCCTCCTATTGTGTACCAGGATTTAAGGTAAATTTTATGATATCACATGGATGGATTATGCTAAGGAATAATCTGTAAGTGAGTCGAGGAAGCTTAGGTCAGTCAACAGTATGAAGGAATGGTTCTTCCTCATCCTGCTACACACAAGGACCAGGGTACTGCTGGGTTGGCAGTGCACTGGTGGGTACTAATGGAAGTACTCCATCCTCCCCGCTGTCCTTTTTTGAAGTGTAAAAGCAACCATGTAAGGACACAATTCACTTACTGCCACAAAATAACAGTTGTCTGGAATATCACCAACAACTCAGACCATGGAACCCAAGGGACGTTACAATTCCCACTGCAAGGAGTCACAAATTCTATGGGAAACTGAGCTTAGGGGAAGCACTTTTTGTTGGAAGAAATCTTCTCCTCTCACCTAGCGCATTGTCCAGGGAACCTACACTGAACTACTAGGGTCATTTTGTACGTTTCTCAATGCAGCAATTTCCTATCTGAATCGTTACTTCCCAGTTTTCCAGGGTAGTCCTGATACGCGCTTGTCACTTCAAGTAATCAGTAATAGTGCCCCTCTCATTCTCCAAAGTGTGTTACTTTATTCACTGGATATTCAAGTCCTAGGCTCTGTCCTGGGGACATGGTAGAATCTATTTTGAAATGTATATATTGAATATACAAATTTCCTAGGAAATTTGAAATCCAGAATTGCTTCATTTTTGTGTTCAACTGAAGTCTTAATTTTGTACCATTAGGTTTCAGGTAATTTAACAATGGAAAAAATAAGGCACCTAGAAGCTAGATCTATTCTTATATCTGCCATTTATTCATATAATTTCTTGAGCATCTACTGACAGGCACTGTGCAAGGTGCAGGAAATCAAGGTCTTGTAAGCCACACGCACAGGCATAACGATGTGACCAATGCTAAAACTTAGTGTTTGCAAAGAGAAGGAAACAAATTCCGTCTGGAGTAATTATAAGCTTAAAAGAGGAGCTGTTGGGATCTTTTCTTTATGTACATATTTTTATTTATTTGAAAGGGTGGGGGGATATGATCTCATCTGTTGGCTCTCTCCCCGAAAGTCTATAATGACCAGGGCCAGGCTGAGGCAGGATGAAGCTGGAAGCCAGAGACTCAACTCAGTTCTCCCATACAGGTGGCAGGAAACTGGCCATCACCTACTGCCCACTACCCCAAGGTCTGTCTTGGCAAGAAGCTGGAGTCAGGAGTCAGAACCAGGAATCAAACCCACATACTCCAACGTGAGATGTGGAGAGCAAAACCACTGGACGAAGTAGCTACTCCTGAGACAGGTCTTTGAAATTGAGTGCACTCACACTGGCAAGTAAAGGGAATTCCCTACACTACAAAAATCCAAGGGACAATGGTCATGATTTATCTGTGATGTTAACACTGTTTAGGCTAGAAAGTAACATGGTGATTATGTGCTGGGCACCATCTTAAGGTTTCTGTACCAATTCATTTCATTTTCAGCACAGGAGGTAGATTCTATTATTGTTCTCTCTTTTTTTTTTTTTTTTTTTTTTTTTTTTACAGGCAGAGTGGACAGAGAGAGACAGAGAGAAAGGTCTTCCTTTGCCATTGGTTCACCCTCCAATGGCTGCCGCGCTGTGGCCGGCGCACCGCGCTGATCCGAAGCCAGGAGCCAGGTATTTCTCCTGGTCTCCCATGAGGTGCAGGGCCCAAGCACTTGGGCCATCCTCCACTGCACTCCCTGGCCACAGCAGAGAGCTGGCCTGGAAGAGGAGCAACCAGGACAGAATCCAGTGCCCCAACCGGGACTAGAACCCGGGGGCCAGCGCTGCAGGCGGAGGATTAGCCAAGTGAGCTGCAGCGCCGGCCAAGGTTTTATCTATTTTTAAAGTCTCAGTCCCCTCTCCAAATGTATGAGACCTGGTTTAAAAATCTGAAACACTGAGTAGACATAAGACTTGGCTTCAACTGGAAGTAAAAGGTCATGTAAGGAATAGTGTAGAAAGTTGATGTGTACATGGAGATAATGTAAGATAATGGGTGAAGTTCTACAGATTAGGTTTACAACAAAACACGAGTAAGTGGCTTAAACAAGGAAGCTGTTTATTTGTGTCCTTCAGAGAAATCCAGAGGTAGAATGCCCACAACTGGCCCGAAAGCTCCAGGTGGCCATGGACCCCAGCTTCTTCCATCCTCAAGACTGGCTCTTGCTCCACGATGGTTAACTAGTCTCAGTCATCACGTACACATTTCAACAAAGAACAAAACCAGCAGACGAAGGCCTGGAGACGCACAAACGCTGAGTCTCCCAATGGACAGCTCCCAGAAGAACCCTCCTGAAACATCACCAAATGACTCCTGCCCACAGACTCCTGGTAAAGCCCTAACAGAAGAGGAGACACACTGTCACCCCAAAAAACACAGGTTCTTAAATACGGAGAAAACAGAGGAGGAGACACACCATCACCTCAAAAAACACAG